TTCTGAGTGTTTTATGTGCTGCAGAACAGGAACCTGCTGTAAAACAGCAATTATGCTGAATCAGGCTTGATTTTTAATAATCTTTTCCTGTTAAATAAATAAATCAAATCAACTCGTCCCAAGCAGAGACTCCGCCCACTTCTTCAAAGGACGGCCGCGGCCGGCCAGTGAACTGTTTCTCGGGGGACACTCACTTTTCCTTGCAGCACCGCTATGTGCGTTAGCATACTAATGTTATTGTTGAGCTGTTAGTTGCAGCGGCGGGTGCCAATTCCGCTGCTTATATTGACTGACGAAACATAGAAATGTGGAGTACATAACAGTCATGTAAAGAAATACAAAAAATAGATAAGTTAAACAATAGGGTTGTGGGGGAGAAACAGAAATGAGGACTACAAAACGGTCATATATTGYGGTATAATCGAAGTTAACAGTAGGCTAATCTGAAAAGATGTGTCTTCAGATCAGACTTGAACAGGGAGAGAGAGGTTGTATTGCGTAATCTGTGGGGTAGTGAGTTCCAGAGTTGCGGAGCAGAGCGGCTGAAAGCTCTGCTCCCCATGGTGCTGAGGCGGGCAGGGGGTACTGAGAGTTGGAGGGAGGAGGCAGATCTTAGAGAGCGGGAGGGTGTGGAGATGTTTAGGAGGTCGGACAGGTAAGGAGGGGAAAGATTGTGAATAGCTTTGAAGTTGTGTAGGAGAATTTTGAAGATGATGCGGGATTTAATTGGGAGCCAGTGGAGCTGTTGTAGGARTGGAGTGATGTGGGCAGAGGATGAGGTTTGAGTGATTACACGAGCTGCTGAGTTCTGAACCATCTGTAGTTTGTGAAGGGATTTATTGGGGATGCCAAACAGTAGGGAGTTGCAGTAGTCGATCCTGGATGTTACTAGGCTGTGTACAAGGATGGCAGTGGAGCGGGAAGTGAGTGAAGGACGAAGACGGTTAATGTTGCGAAGATGAAAGTACGCAGATCGAGTCACGTAGTTAATGTGGGATGTGAAAGAAAGTGTGGGGCGAGGGGGAAAGAACAGAGTTGTTAAGTATGAAGAGAAGATGTTAGGATTTGCAAATGGAGTTTTTTGTCCCAACAAGGAGTTCAGTTTTGTTATTGTTTAGTTGGAGGAAATTATTATGGAACCAGTTGTTTAGCTCACTGAGGCYGTCGGTAAGAGTGGAGGATGGTAAGGTGGAGTTCGGTTTTGTTGAGATGTAGAGCTGAGTGTCGTCTGCATAAGAGTGGAAATGAACACCAAATTTACGAATGATGTGGTCAAGTGGAAGCAGATAGATTATGAAAAGTAGAGGCCTGAATACAGAAACTTGGGGAACACCAGTGGAAATGGGTGAAGACTGGGAACAGAAGGACTTGATATATAATATCAAGTGATATATATATAATATCAAGTGATATACAATATATATTGAAGTAGGTTACCTCATTCAGAGCTATATTTATCAGACATCAGGATTTGTGTGTTTACAAACTGCTAAGTGATAAGTATGTGATGTTTCATATATATATA